TCTGATGAAAGCATGAAAGAATGTGAGGGAGTATTGCAGTGTGCAATGTGCATTGTTCTGAGATGAGAACATTTTTTTCACTTCTCAACACAATAGTTCAAAATTCTGCGCAGTTCATATGATGACACAATGATACAATTGTAAGATCAGAGCAAAGTGTGCAAGTTAATGAATTAATGTTGTTACACATCCTCAATGTACAGTTGTTACACATCCTGACTTTCCTGGCAGCACAGTCATGATTTTGCTGCAAAGCCTCTGTTCTGGGAATCCTGTCGTGTTGGATCAGGCTTATAAGGCTGGTCACTAATCTGCTTGTTAGCAAGGGAGTAACTTGTCATCCTTGTGTTCCACTCAGACCTCAAGAGTCACAGGTAGAGACCCACAGGTCATGCTAAATATCTGACGCAGTCAATTAATATGGTGTTTTTTGTAAAAGCTACAAGTCAAGTAAAGAGCTTGCTAGCAGTTACCAAAATAAGTGAAACAGTTACTGAGATGTTATTCAGAATTCATTACACCTGAATTTTTACACTTTTAGGTTTTAAAATCCACATAGTAAAATATTTTCTTTGTTTTTTCATGACTGCATGTTTGCTTTCATGGATTTGTTTTATTAAATATAATAAATCACAATCATTTCTTATTATTTTCTACTCAGCATGTGTATTAAAATGTTTTCTGAAGGTTCATGTGACACTGGAAACTGGAGCAATGGCCGCTGAAAGCTCAGCTCTGCCATAGCAGTAATAAATTACATTTAAAATACATTAAAATAGAAAATTTTAATAATATTTCACAGTATTACTGCTTTTACTGTATTTCTGATTAAATAAATGTATAATTTATGCAACTGTTACTATATTAATTCCATATCTATTGGACTGTTGTTGCAGCTGACAAACATACTTTCTTACACAATCCCACCCCCCTTTCCAGCACTGTGACAGGGAAACTTTGTACCCGCCGACTTAAGCAAACAGAACATGTTATTTTAGATAGGGGGACCTAGTTATGAAACTTGTTCCATTTCTAATTTTGTCATTGTGTGATGCCCTAAAGCGCATTAGTCACAAGAGTAATGTGTGAGCAACATGTCTATGATACGTCCAAGAGTATTTTGGTTAAGATGTTAGTTAGACTTTATACAATTGTCTCCTTTTTCAGAGCTTATATTTTTCTTTCCCTGAGTCGAGATAAGAGACTATTTTTATAGTTTACTTTTAATGTTTCAGTAACATTTTTTCCTTCTAATCTTTCCAGGTAGTACTGTTGCTACTTGTCTGCTTTGTCTGCCAAGTACGGAAAAAGGGAAATGATATGTCTGACAGTTTCCACAAAAAATTTAAACGGCACAACTGTTTTCAACATTGATAATAATAAGAAACGTTACTTGAGCAGCAAATCAGCATATTAGAATGATTTCTGAAGGATCATGTGACACTGAAGACTGGAGCAATGATGCTGAAAATTCAGCTATGCCATCACAGGAATAAATTACATAAATTGTATTTTAAAATATATTAAAATAGAAAACGTTTATTTTAAACTGCAATTATATTTTACAATATAACTGTTTTCACTGTATTTTTGATCAAATATATGCAGTACTGGTGAGCATAAGAGCATAATAATAGCATAAAGTGCATAACTTTTTAATAAATGGTCTGTTTCAAAACCCTCATGACAATTTTTAACTATTTTACATTTTGATCTTATTTGTATATTTTTAAATAATCTGCCCCAGTGTGTTAGGTTTAGGGGTGGACCTTCATGCTTAGTTTACATTTTTTTATTTATTTTTTTATTTTAAAGTAAGAAACGACTGTATGTTAAAGGTGAATAATAACACAGCATATATATATAATTAGCCATTCAATGTTTGCATTTAAGGGCAGAAATATTGTACCTCTTTAAATTTATACAACAAACATGCTGAGTCACCTCTTGATGAACTTAAGAAAAACCATTTGAGAACCACCTCACTGTAGTGTAGTAGATGTTTTACAATTACCGCAATGGCTGGAGGGGTTCAAAATGCTTAAAATTAACTTATATTTTTCCCTGTCAGCTGTCTTTTACATCACAGCTCAATAA